CAAATTAAAGCTTGTTGATAGTAGGCCCTAATAAGTCTTGGGCAGTAATAAAGTTACTTGGCAAAAGAATCGTCGATGGTAATATGGCATATATCAGTGGTCAAATCATGTTTCGGGTACCATATCAACATCTGAACAAACGAATCTCTTCTGTAATTAGAAATAAGAAAGTGGCAGGGGGATGGGCACATTTGCTAACACCGTATGTAAACCAATTTCATTTTCCTGGGCCCGGAGCAGCTGCGACTGCGAGGAGCCAGATCGATCGAGTGCCGGTGGAGATCTCGTGATGGAACAGGTATATGGAAGCCGACAAGCCGTGTGATTGTTTGTAATTGTAAGGCCCCGTTTGACACGGCTTCACTTCACCCATGAAGTTTTTTTTAGGGCTTCAGCTCCATGAACAGCTCTATGGGCGGAGCTGTAGCCGTTTTGATAAATCGTTTGACAAAACAGCTTCACATATAGTTTTTCTTAAAATATGCTCTCAGAGAACGCCATGTAGAATGAGCTGAAGTCAAGAGAAGCCACTATTTTTGACTCCTTCCCATCCCAAAGCTCTGTGAGAGCACGTTTTTAGGGGCTTCATCGATGGAGCCGTTTTATTTTACCCTGTTTAGTAGAAAACGACTCCAAGCGACTTCTAAAACCGTTAGAGAAGCCCTGTCAAACGGGACCTAAGATCTGTCGCGCAAGAGCCAAGAAGGGGTTTCCAAACGACGAGGGCGGAGGGCCCATTGGATATTTTCCGGCAAGAAGGACCAAGGAGGCCCCCGCTGGGCCAGCCCCCCGCGTCCGCGGCTGTTGAGCGCTTCTTCTCCGAGGTCCGTCCGTGTCGTCTTCCCTAACAGCACCGTGCCGGCGTCCACTGGCTGGATCGATCGCGCGAACCGAACGCCAATAATTTGCCGGCTGTTTTCGTGCCGTCCGCATCGGGCACGTGCCACGAACCCAACCCAGCGGCCCACCGTTGATCTGGCTTTTCTCCCTTGGCCTGCCTGCCGTCCCCTCTCACACACACCCCACCGCTTGACTGGCCGGCCCGCCCGCCCCTGCCGAACAAACGTGGGCCTCCTCGACCTGACATTGGGCCTTGCCCGAGACAAAATCTTTCACGGACTTGATCTGACTAGAACACTTCATTCCAGCCAGGGACAGAGAGAGCCTCGTCGTCGTCGTTTGTGATGGGAATGGGATGGCGTAGCTCTCACACCCAGGAAAATCGCGCAACTCTCGGCCAATAATCTGCCGCCATCCCTTTGTCAAAAAAACAATCTGCCATCCCATCACAAACGACGCATGAGGCCGGCCTCGTCGAATTGAAATTCGAAAGAGAAAGCCCGTCCCGTAGTGCTCATGGTCATGAATTATTTGAGCAGATGAAAAACTGGAGGCCGCGGAGACCGAAGCGTGTGCCGCTGCAGCACGGATCACGGCCACGGAGCAGCTGCCGCCACCCCGGCCCGCAATTTTGTAGTAACGGGAGGTGGTTCTGCGTTCTTTTCAGGGCGGTTGATCGATCGATCCCTACCCTTCACACATCGCTCAAGATGATATAATAACCTAAGATTTTGATTCGATTATCATGACAAGAGGATGATATGGATGTATATTATATATGTGTATACTTCCGTGTGCCCACTATCTTCGTCCAAATCAAATGGTTTGGTCCGTGAGAAATTCTTCTAGGATCAATATACTATTAATTACAGCTCGATACAGCTAACAGAAGTTTTCTTTTCGTGTGTTGTTAGACTACCCTTTGCGTGCCGGCCATTCCATATACGCCCCGTTTGCTTGGCTTATAAGCCGTACTTTTTTCAGCCAACGAACAATATTTTTCTTTTACAACAAATCAGCCAACAGTACTTTTAGCCATGACTTATCAACCAAGCGAACAGGACAATAGCCCTGCTAATGGGTTGAAATCAATCGATCACCTACTCAGGCCAGCCCATACTGAGTTAATTAGCTATCTTATATAATCCATTCCACCCTATAATTTTGGTCTTTCAACTTAACTCGCTTCAATTCGTCAACTAGAGAACCACGGGTTTGCTACAATTACGAGTTTGTATAAAAATGTATATGTAAGTTTGAATAAAATATATAAATTGCGTAAAAAAAAGTTGGGCCATAGATTTGAAATTTCATCCCCGCCCCCAGCTCACTGCCGCGACGTGCTCGACGGACGCCGCGCCCGCGCCCGCTCGCTACCGCCCTGCCCGCCCGCGCTCCCTCCCTTCCTCCCTCTCCCCTCCACGACCTCCACTGCTACCCCGCACTCCTCAGCGACCCGACTCCTGCTCCCCCAACCGGAGAAAAGGACGATGACGGCAGCTCCGACGAGGTCAGTCGATCCTTCTCTGGATCTGAGCCCTCCTCTTCCTCTGGATTTGAGGGATGCGGCGGTGGCTAGGGTTCCGGTGAGCTCTGGGGTCCTATTCCCTCCTCCCTTCGGCGAGCTCGAAGGTGATGGGGCCAAAGGCTGGAGTAGCCAGTACATCCCCTTTGCTGTTTTTGTACGCCCTTTTGTTGTTTCTCCGTGTTGCAATGGGATTTTTGGGATGGTGCAGCATATGATTTTCAAATGTCGCAATAAGGTGATTCATGTGTTGCAGAAAAGGGAGTTCTAATGTTGGGATTGTTGCAATAGAGGATTTTAATTGTTGAAATTACCTTTTTCAAATATTGCAGCACTGAAAGGTGATGATTGAGTTGTTTTCATTTTTTCCATGTGTTCATGGTTGATTTTGCGATGTTGCGGTATTACTGCTTGAGATGTTGCAGTACATATTTTTTTTATTTTGCAGTACATATTTTTTGATGTTACACTACATAGTTTTGCGATGTTGCAGTATTTTATATTCCGATGTTGTACTACATATTTTTGCGATGTTGCACTTGAAGTGTTTTCGTGCTCTTAGGACAAGGGCGCGGTGCATAACGGGGCGCGGTGGGGGGGGGACGGGGAGCGGTGGGGAACGGGGACAGGGGCGCGACCCTTCTGGTCGTTGAGGAGGCGCAGGCCGCCGGTCGCCACGGAGGCCGCGGGGGCGCGCAGGAACACGGTCCGCATCGCCATCTCGTGCCCTCGTCGGTCATCGCGGTCGAATCTGTCTGGGACAGGGGCGCGGTGGGGAACGGGATGCGGTGGGGGACATCGGCGCGACACAACGAGTACGATATGACCTACGTCCGGACGCTGCCAGGGGGCTGACGTCCGGGCACTAGGTATACCGATCTATTTATGGAAGCTAGCTACGATGTAAAAAGATTTCTCATTATATATGCATGATTTTAGGAATTATTAGGAGTCGGATTTATTGCTGCTAGCTGGAGCCTGGAGAAAGGGGATGAAGAAGCCTTTTTATGTAACGCTACTAATAACATATTCAAAGTCAACAATCTATCAGATTCGTGCTCACTGACTGTAAGCAACCACAGGCACCCATCTCCAATAGAATTTTCCATATGTTCCACATAATCACATCATCCTTGGCAAAAATATACAGCATTTTCGCCCCCACATTATATCTAGGCATATACTCTCTCCGTTGCAAATTATAAGACGTTTTGGCTTTTATAGATTCATAGTTTTTTTTTGCTACGCATCTAAATATATATGTTATGTCTAAATACATAATAAAAGCTATGAATCTAAAATACGTCTTATAACTTATTAGTGCGGGGAAGTATATATATGTGTGTGTCTATATATATATATATATATATATATATACACACACACACCAATGGCCCATATTGGCCTTGCATGCTGTTGGCCGCGTTAATTACTCCCTATCAACGAAGAGGCGTTAATTCCCAGTAGTATACGCGGGGGCAAACTCGTCACATTTTACCGTGGACCACTGAAAACGAATTCATTTGTGAAAACTCTCTACACCTCCAGGACGAACTCTTTTGTGGGATGGAGGGAGTACACGGACTTGGCGCCTCGCCACCTTTGCAAGGACGATCGAGCACGTTGCACGTATGCGGTGCGGTGCGGTGCGCGGTGCGCCTGCCGACCAGACGTACTACGTGGCCATGGCGCCCAGCGGCGCGGCAAAGCAGCAAGGACATGAGGCACAGGTTTCAACGGGGCCGCCGCGACCCGCGAGCCACTAGCATCATCAGGAAGTAATAACGCTGAAAAGCTCCAACATCAATGCCTACCGGCCGGCTCCTCCGCCCCGCTACTCCTGCTCCCCACGGGAGGGAGGGGAGGCTGCCTCTCTCGCTCACTCGCCCATCGCCCGGCGTACCCATTGCCGAATTAATGGCGGCGAATGCTGCGTGCAACTGATCCGACCCAACCCGACCGGAACCGGACCCCCGCGGATGACCGCTAGCTGCACCGAGAATCCATTTTGGTCGCGGACCTTGGCCTGGAAGCCGCGCGCGCGTCGGCGAGGGCGACGGCGCCTGTGAAAACTCAAAAGGCTGCTTGCTGCTTCATGGAGTTGAGATACCGGCACGGCAGCATGGCCGGCCTCCTGCAGCTCTCGAGAGTTGCCTCGCTCCTGTCCTGTACCAGCCACAGCAGACCACAGCCCGTAGAAATGGATCGAGACGACGACGACGACAGTCACCAGCACGCCGCGCGCGTCGCAATCCGGCCTGTTGGGTTTCAGGCGTCATAACTCTAAGCTGCAGGTGGAGGGATCCTTGACCCAACCCTGTTCTGTTGCCCCGCGTCCTTCCTAACGCCCCAGTTGCATCCCATGGCGACCAAGTTGGCAAGTTACATGTATAAAGCCATGCCGTGCCGATGCAGCGTGCATGACCAGCTAGAGGAACACAACTGTCCTGTCCTGTCCTGTCCACAGTCCACACACGCCTTCATTCATTTCATCGGCTGGCTCACGGACGTCCGTCTACAAAAAGCACAACATAGGCAGAGTAGGGCAGCAGTGAGCTGAGCTGAGGGAAGGACACGTACGACAGAGTCGTTGCTAGCCCGGCCGCCGGAGCTCTCCATCTCGATCGCCGACGACATGGGTGCCGCGCTCTTGGCGTCTTGGCCATGGGACAACCTCGGCTTCTACAAGGTACGTACGATACGTCGACGCAAAGCACCTAGCTCTTGGGGGACGATCGACATCGATTCGCTTGCTTAATAAACCTTGCATGCATGCAGTACCTTCTGTACGGCCCGCTGGTGGGCAAGGCGGTGGCGTCACGGGCGTGGGAGGCGGCGAGCCCCGACCGCTGGATCCTCCTCCTGCTCCTCCTCTTCGGCCTCCGCGCCCTCACCTACCAGCTCTGGAGCTCCTACAGCAACATGCTCTTCGCCACGCGCCGGCGCCGCGTCGTCCGCGACGGCGTCGACTTCCACCAGATCGACAAGGAGTGGGACTGGTACGTTTACGTACGGCTAGCACCTGGGCCGCAATCGATAGGAACATCTATCTTGGCTCCCCTAGCTCTTGATGATCGATCAATAATCGACGCAAGCCGTGTGTCACGTCCTTCTTTTTCCTTGTTGCCGCGTGCATGCATGCAGGGACAACTTCCTGATCCTGCACGTCCTGATGGCGGCCACGGCGCTGTACGCGTTCCCGTCGCTCCGCCACCTCCCGCTCTGGCCGGTCGACGCCCGGGGCCTCGCCATCACGGCCCTCGTCCACGCCGCGGCCACCGAGCCCCTCGCGTACGCGGCGCGCAGGGGCGTTCCACGGCGGCCGCCTCTACGCCCGCTACCACTCGCTGCACCACTCCACCAGGGTGCCGCAGCCGTTCACGGCCGGCCTGGCCACGCCGCTGGAGCACATGGTGCTGGGCTCGCTCATGGCGCTGCCCCTCGCGGCCGCGTGCGCAGCCGGCTCCGGCTCCGTCGCGCTCGCCTTCGCCTACGTGCTCGGCTTCGACTTCCTCCGCGCCATGGGACACTGCAACATCGAGGTCGTCCCCAACTCGCTCTTCCAGGCGGTCCCGGTCCTCAGATACCTCATCTACACCCCGACGTACGTGCATGTTATTGGCTCTCACACTCCCGGCTCTCGCTTCGTTCTTGCCTTACAGTCGTGCTCAGTTCACCACGATTTGACTGCCCCCGCCACGTGGTAGGTTCATTTGATGATCATGACTTCAAACCGTGCATCTACTACTTAGATCTTTAGCTGAAGAGAAGAAACAAAACAAAATAAATCTTGATAGCGATGGCACTAGATGTGTGCACTTGCATGCGCCACGCACGCCTATATATGAGCTACGCAAGAATGATGCATGGTGTCACTAGCTGATTCGTACATCCAACCGAACTGTGTGCACACGGTAGTTAAGGCAGGGAGTTTTTGCCCTATCATCTTCTGTCTTCTCCAAACTCGACCTTTTAGCTAGGTGTGCTAATTAAGTAAATTGTTCTTAGTCTGATTGCTGCGTCATTTCGAGCTCGATCTGTCTGGACAACATAACATTTGTGTGATAGCATATCGACGATCGCCTAGCTGTTACTCCATCCACAGTTGTCAGCCAACAACTATATAACGTTGTAGGAGTACACAGCATCCCTCTGCAATGATCACGTGCTGAATGATAACTGGATGCCTTTTAGTGACTTGTGATTCTGCCCAGGTGCTTTCCGGGTGCTGATACACTGTGTCACTCGCATGCATGATGCTGGCCCTTCTCTTGATGCTGCAGGTACCACGCGATCCACCACACCAAGAAGGAGGCCAATTTCTGTCTCTTCATGCCGCTGTTTGATCTGCTGGGTGGCACCATCGACCCGCAGTCGTGGGAAATGCACAAGAAGATGAGCGCAGGTACACACACCCACACGTCTAGCTAGCTAGCTAGCTTTTGCTTCATAACATCCTTTTTGGCTGTCAGTTCTACGTTTATTATGGTGGTCCATGACATGTCACCAAACTAGCTATATGTATGGGTTCAAGAGATTTAGTTGGACCTCCAGTGATAGTCTGATAGTCCTAATTAAGTAGTCCAAGATCTAGATGAGTAGACAGCCCAACTAGCCTTCTAGCTTTAATCAATAAAATGCACTGACCGGTACATATATCTAGCTGCATGCATGCATGCATGTCCTCAACAACAATAATTCCTGATAAAATGCAACGAGACGTTTTGTGCCTTTTCTCAACCAAAAAAAAAATGCCAGTTTCGCGTTTGCGGTTCTGGGCTACAGCATGTTTAGCTGCGTATAAGATTTACCAGTGGCTAGTGGTTAGTGGTGCCTGTCTACTAATTTATTTGCATTGCATGCAATTAGGGGCTCCTTGGTTCCCAGCCAACGTGCCACGCCAAACTGTGGCGGAGGCGAGGAAAACGTACCAGTGCCACAAGTGTGGCGAAAATTACTACTGCATGCAAATATTAAGAGTTGTGGCAGCCTAAGGCTAATAATAGACCAAACAGTGGCCTGCATGGGTGTGACTGCCTCAACTGCGGCGGTGGCGAGGTGTGGCTGGGAAGCAAACACCCTCTTATTAAACATGAATGCCACTATTTTTACCTTTAAGGACCTGTTTGGAACAATGAAAAATAGAGGAATAGGAAAAAAAAGATTTAGTGAATAGTGAAAACTATAGAGTTCTAAAACTGGAGGGTAAAAATACAAGAACTTGAGCAAGTATAGCAAGAGAGAGCAAAGATTCTTTCCTTTAGGTTGAACTTTGAAGTGGTGGTTTCATTTCCTATGTTTTGCATTAATATGGTTTTCTTTTCTTGGGAAAGGAACACTTCCAAACAGTATGTTGTAATTCCTTTTCTTTCGAATTTATTTATTTTTTAAATCCCTTTGAAAATTCTTTGACCAAACAGGGCCTAAATAGCCCAAAATCCGGTCCATTGTAATTACCCAGAAAAGATACCACAACAAGACAGGCAGTTAATAGATCGAATAGGACGTACTACTCGATTAATTTTGTTTCACATCATTAGCAGAAGGTTCTAATTCGAGCTGGGAACGCATGTTGTTTCTAGAAAGGGAATTAACCCAAGGCCCCAAGCTCTTCTAGCTCTTCATCATTGCGCGACGCAACCCCCTCAGCAATTCGTCGCCGGAGAAATTAAAAAAAAACCACTCGATATGACCAATTCATCATTTCTGTGGAGGACAGCGCATGAGCGCCGAGACGGACACGGACGGGTTCTCACGGCCGGCCGGCCGGCGAAAAGATGAGCTCGCTGTTTCAATCAATGTAAGGCCCCGTTTAGTTTCCCAAAACCAAATTTTTTGCACAGTAAGTGTCACATCGAATCTTTGCAAGATATGTATAGAGAAAGATTAAATGTGAACGAAAAAAAACTAATTGTACAGTTGGGTGAGAAATCGTAAAGACGAAACTTTCAAACATAATTGGTCCATAATTGGTACACTAATTATCAAATACAAACGAAAGTCTTATAGAACCTGAAACCAAGAAAATTTCGGATCTAAACGCGCCCTAAATATCCCCTTGGTCAGCATCCGGCAGATGGGAATGGGATATGCCATCAGCCGCAATGAAGGCGGTAGCCTGGTGATTGGCGCGTACGTCGCCAGCACCCGTCCGTCTCTGAACCTCAACCTGGTATGGCCGAGTAGGAGGAGAGTAGGCGGTTGGGAACGGCCGGGCCCGGACCAGCGCGCGCCGGCCGACGTGGTCCGATAGCGAGATCGATCAAACTGCACAGGCAACCGCCGGGGCCAGCGTCGTCCGGGTGTCACCGACCTAGCGCTAGCGGCGGGCTGGCATGGCGGGGTCGCCGCCACTAGGTAGCCACTAGCCAGTAGGTGGGATGTCAATCACAACAGGCCCGCTGCTGAAAAATACACTATACAAAAAGAAGATTTCTCGTCACATCAAATTTGCGCGATACGCATTGAAAGATTAAATGTAGATTTAAATAAAAACTAATTACACATTTTACTTTAACTTTGCGAGACTTAATCTTTGGCCTAATTGGTCAATGTTTGGACAATAATTCACAAATACAAATAAAATACTACGAAGATAGAATCTTTACTGTGCAAAGTTTGCCTGCGCAATCGATTGCCCAACTAAACACCCCCAGAATCGATCGGCAACGCTACGCCCCCTGCTTTCCGCTGCTGATCCGTCCCGACGCTGACGCTTGTCGATCTGCTCTGACTCTGATGCGACTCCTCGTCCTCGATGGACCAGGTGTGGACGAGGTGCCGGACTTCGTGTTCCTGGCGCACGTGGTGGACGTGATGCAGTCGCTGCACGTGCCCTTCGTCCTGCGGACCTTCGCCTCCACGCCCTTCTCCGTGCAGCTCTTCCTGCTGCCCATGTGGCCCTTCGCCTTCCTCGTCATGCTCGCCATGTGGGTCTGGTCCAAGACCTTCGTCATCTCCTGCTACAACCTCCGCGGGCGGCTGCACCAGATTTGGGCCGTCCCCAGATACGGCTTCCAGGTTCGTTTCCTGTCTTGTGTTGTGTTGTGTCTCATGTCATGTCATGCGATAATGGTGTGTTTTTATCTTTGGTCTCTGCATTGCCTGCACTGCAGTACTTCTTGCCGTTTGCCAAGGACGGCATCAACAAGCAGATCGAGCTCGCCATCCTCAGGGCCGACAAGATGGGCGTCAAGGTCCTCAGCCTTGCAGCCCTAAACAAGGTATATACGTATGGAGCCTTCTCATGATCTGGAGCTGGAGCTAGCCAACCTAAGACATGGTGGCTTGTGCAGAACGAGGCGCTGAACGGCGGCGGCACGCTGTTCGTGAACAAGCACCCGGACCTTCGCGTGCGCGTCGTCCACGGCAACACGCTGACAGCGGCGGTGATCCTGAACGAGATCCCCAAGGGCACGGCGGAGGTGTTCCTGACGGGCGCCACGTCCAAGCTCGGCAGGGCCATCGCGCTGTACCTGTGCAAGAAGAGGGTCCGCGTCATGGTACATATGCTTCGTGCCCTGGCGTACATGCATGCGTGGCGTCATGCATCTAGCTCCATCACCGACCCACCACCCAACTAATAATAATAAATAAACACGCACGCAACGCACGTGTGCTACGTACGTGCTTTATTTATTTGCAGATGATGACCCTGTCAACGGAGCGGTTCCAGAAGATCCAGAAGGAGGCGCCGGCGGAGTTCCAGCAGTACCTGGTGCAGGTGACCAAGTACCCGTCCGCGCAGCACTGCAGGACGTGGATCGTCGGCAAGTGGCTGTCGCCGCGGGAGCAGCGGTGGGCGCCGCCGGGCACGCACTTCCACCAGTTCGTCGTGCCGCCCATCTTCGGCTTCCGCCGGGACTGCACCTACGGCAAGCTCGCCGCCATGCGCCTCCCCAAGGACGTGCAGGGCCTGGGCGCCTGCGAGTACTCGCTGGAGCGCGGGCGGTGCACGCGTGCCACGCCGGCGGCGTCGTGCACTTCCTCGAGGGCTACACGCACCACGAGGTGGGCGCCATCGACGTCGACCGCATCGACGTCGTCTGGGAGGCCGCGCTCAAGCACGGCCTCCAGCCCGCATGATCCGATCCGTTTCGTGGCCCGGCTCGACCGCCTCTATTGTAGGAGCCAGCAGCCCGAAACGCATGGGCCTGGCTTTGTCACTTTCCCTTTGTTTTCCTAGTTCAACATTGGGTGTGGATTGGTGGTTCCTGGAGATTCAATTTTCTTTTCCTTTTCTTCTTCCATCCACAATATGTATACTGTAAACTATACAATCTATATACCATATACAAGAGAGAAATTAAAGGATGTAATGAGAGAAAATACAAGGGGTAAAAAATATCTATATCTATATTCTATATCTATAATATTCACTGTTTGCCTAAATGGCCGTTTAGCCCGTTTAAACACTACACTGAGGTACACCGTTTCCGTTTAATCGGCTGGTTTGACCGTTTAAACGACCGTTTTTCCCGTTTAAGCACCCGTTTTGCCTGAATAATGGGCTAAACGGTAGGTGCCCGAATATTAAAAGCAAATTCTTTCATCCCATGTTTATTCTCTCCACTTTTCGCCCATATGACATAATGTATTCTCCAACACAGTGACAGTTACTGTTTGCATACGCAAATTAAAAGATCTTTCGTTGGTGCCACGCTACTCATGTCATGGCCTAACCACTATGGATCAAGCTAATCAGGCAGAAGTCCCCCGTATGCTTGGCCTCGAGTTTCTTAGGCACAAGAATGATGTTGGACATGTTCAATAGGTTAAAGCTTTGGCCATTCGTGTTGTGTAACTATTTGAGCGCTATTGTGAGGCCATCTTTGATTTTGTGTGTTCATCAAGTTAAAGTATTGGTCACTCGTGCTGTCTTATTGGTTGAACGCTGTTGTGAGGTCATCTTTGGTTATGTCCTAGCAGTCCTGGAAGAATAGGCCATGAAGGGTGTGTTTGGTTTGAGGAATGAGGTGGTCCACCATCTACTCATTTCTCACCTTTTTATTTGGTTTGTGGAATGAAATAGGTTGATGCATCATCACCTCATTCCTTACACGCT